CCGGCGACAGGCACACATGGTAGGTCAGGAACTAAGGCGGCCTCCAAAGTCGGCCTGAACACCGTGGTCAAGGCTCCTCGGCGCTGACCTCCACCACATCCCTGTCGGTTGACTGCTCGGCGCCCGACTGCTCCCCTCCATCGTCACCAGCTTCACTGCCCTCGACGTCCTGTTGCACCAAAGTCGGCGTCCCTGCCAACTCCTCCCCTGTCGTGGGCTCCCCTGCCAACTCCCTGGTCGACGACGGCTCCTTGGTCGGCGTCCCTGGTGGCTGCTCCCCTGTCAGCGGCTTCTCTGCCGCAACCTTCTTCACCGACTTCAGCAAAGTTGGCGACTTCCTCTCCACCCGCTGCTCCACTTGCTCGACATCACGTGGGCCACTGGCGATGCGTCCCACTGCTCCTCTCATCGCCGGAGGCCGACGCGGGCGTCAGCTTCTGCAGGTCGGCTACGAGGGGCGGGGCACAAGGGGGAGGGGAAGAGAGAGAGGGGAGGACGTCCTCGGCGTCCTCAGCAGCTCGCTCGCCGATCTTGGCAAGCTGAGGAAGGGTCGCCGTTGAGGTGTCCGTAGGCGTGTTGGTCGGCGTCCTCCCTGATACAGGCCCGTGCTCCGACTTCCACACCTCCAGCGACATCAAGGAGCTCCCAGCCCTTGCTCTCCTCCGACACACCGAGGTGAAGGCCCCACCTGGCCTTCTGCTTCAACTTGCCACCGCGATGCTGCTCAGGGACCAGGAACTGCGCCATGCAGCCCCACACACGGGCCAGCGTGAGGTCAGGCTTCTTGCCGGTCAGCAGCTAGTGCGGCATCATTCCCGGCAGCAGCGTCGAGCTTTCAAGGCAGTTGCACACCCAGACGACCTAGCGCAGGGCGAGGTGCTACCAGTGGTGTTGCACGCCCATGTGCAGCAGCATCGTCCGCACCGACTCCACCACCGTCTGCATCTCCCGCTCTGCCATGCCGTTCTACTGCGGTGTGTACGGGCAGGTTAGGTCGTGGATGATTCCCTTGTCGTCCACGAAGTCGGTAAACTCCTTCCCGAGGAACTCCCCTCCCCGGTCGGAGTGTAGCATCAGCACCGACTTCTTCGTCTGCCGCTCAACCACCACCAGCCACTTCTCGAACTCCCGCAGCACGTCGGACTTCTTGGCAAACGGCCTCACACACACGTAGCGGGTCGTGCGGTCCTTCAGCAATAGGAAGTACAGGCTCCCGTCCTTGGCAGCCATGCGGAATGGCCCGCACAGGCCGATGTGCACGACGACCAGAGCGACATCGGCGTCCGATCCCTTGTCGGGGAAGGTGTGTTGCGCCAGCTTCCCACCGACGCAAGAGACACACGGAGAGTCGGTGCCGGCCGACGGCTTGATGTCAAGGCCGGTGGTGACCTCATGCTTCGCCCAGCTCAAGATGGTGTCGACGCCGACATGCGCAAGCCTTGCGTACCACCTGGCCGGCGTCGACTTCATCGCCGTAGCAATGGTCGGCAGAGCCACCGTCTCCGTCTTGATCGTCGTCGACGTTGCCATGCATGGATGAAGGTCGGTAAAGAGGATCCGACCGATGTATGTCGCCCGACCTAGGACGTCCCCCGTCGCCAAGACGAGCAGCATTCCGTCACCGTCGTCCTGCAGCTTCATGCCGCTCTCCTTCAGCTGACTGGCAGATAGCAGGTTGACCTGCTTCCCGGCCTCCTCTTGCAAGGCCACAGTGCCTCAGCCTCGAACTACCTGTTGCCTGTTGTGCTCCATTGAAGCCGCGCACGTGCTGGACGTCGCCACTAGGCTACAAGTTGACGAAGGCTTCCTTCGTCCCCATCAGGTGGTGGAAGCAGTCGCTGTCGAGCAGGACCACCGCCAGGCTAGCCTGCACGGCCGCCGCTACCGCCTGGAAGTCCTGGCCGCCCTCTGGCACCAACGAGATGGTCGGCTCCACGACGCTGACCAGCGAGCACGATTCCTCCTTTTCGCCTCGCCCTTTGCCGCCAGAGGAGGAGTCGGCGTCCTTCGCTGAGGTCGTCGACTTGGTCGACTGCTTCTCTTTGCGCGGCTTGCTCTTGCGATGAGGGCGACGCCCGGTCGACCTCCCTCGGCCTCCATTGGTGTCATCGTCGTCGGAGACACTGCGGTCGGGGCCCTCAAAGGAGAGGTGCTCGGGGTCGCCGCACAGCCAGCATTCCCGACGCCGACTTCCTCCTCCACGACCGCTATCCTTGCCAACTACTGCTTGTCGTCGTCCTTGGCTGGCCTTCCACCTCCGCTACCCACCGCCGCTAGGCTTGCCACGTTGCCCTGGTCGGCTTCCTTGCTTCGCCGGGGTGACATAGTTTGCCTGTGGCAGGAGCTCCATGGACCTCTCGGCCTCCTGCATTGCTTCGTCCCTCAGGATGAACGAGGTCAGCGAGTCCTCGTTGAGCTACTCCCTCGTGCCCGGCACCACCGACAGCCGCTTCATCAGGTTGTAGCTGCTCGGGAGTCCCTTTATGACGTGCGTGACGTACGACGCCGTTGAGTACTCAACGGCGGCCATCCGCATGCAGGCAAGGAGACGCCGAGCTCGGTTGCAATTGTCGGTCGCCGTCTTCTGCTCGCCCATCCGCAGGTGCGTCATCTGCTCCTCCAGCTGATGTACAGGTCGTCGGTGACTTGGTACGTCGCCGTAATGAATCGCCACGCTTGATGCCCGGCGTCCAGATGGTGTCGGCACGACTTCAAAGCAATCTGCACCACCGGCAAGCAGCACCGCGAGATGACGGTGAAGGTCAACAGCTGCACAGTGCGAAACTCCGCGCGCAGCTCCACGGTGGGGCCATCTCTAGCTGGGGCTTGATGGATTCCTTCCACGTGAGAAGGTCGTGCCGACCGACCTGCGGCGCCATGACGGAGACCTTGAAGTACCTGTAGGTCGGCGCCGTGACGGAGACCTGCGGCGCCTTGACGGAGACCTTGAAGTACCTGTAGGTCCGGCGGGAACTTGAAGTACCCATAGGTCGGCGCGATGCCTTCTGCAGTCACGTGTGTCGCCGACGCCGGCATCACGCTGCCTCGACGTCCACCGACGTTGCCTTGCGAGGAGCCCGCAGCCACCGACGACTGCAGTCCTCGCGCCTGAAAGCCGCCGACTTCACTGTCGACAGTTCGGAACACCCCTCTCTGCCTCGACGTGCCTCCTGCATTGCTGCTGACTTGGTCACCGGCGGTGACGCCCATGTCGACGCCGCTCTCGTTGTTCACCGGTCAAGGAGAGGCTGGTCAAGGAGGATGCTCTGCCGCCCACACTGTGCGGATGCCATCCTCGACGACCTCCAGGGGGAGATTTGGCCCGTACTCGCCATCCAGGTGGCGTCTCCTCGCTGTGCCTCAAGGATATCTACTACGCATGTGTCACCTACGGCGACCATCATGGTGACTAGCACAGCTGCCAGCCTACGAACGAAATAGGTAAGTGCAAAAGTCGGCTAAACCGAATGCATCTTTGCGGTGCCGTCCACGCTCACCGCACCATGCGGAGAAAACCAGAATAACAGGAGCTTCACTACGGGGAAGGCACGGGTGTGAGGATGATCGCTACGTTCCTTAGTCGTTTGCTTGTGTGTTTTGTCAACCGGAGTTGTTGTTGGCCCCGTCCTCGCTTGGGCAGAGCCTACTTCGTAGTCGGGTGTGCTGGGAGAGCAGCTGATCAGCTGCGGTGGGCGACGCCGATTTGGGCATGTAGGTCGACGAGCTCGTCGACCTGCTCGAGGCCACTGCTACACCGCCGTCGATGGGGAGCCGGAGGTCGACTTCAACCTGGTGGTGGACGAGGGGAGTCGTTGACCTGGGAGGGGCGTCGACTTTGGAGGGCGCCGAGTTCGGATGATGGTAGTGGCAGTGCAGGCGACGACGTGCAGTCGCGGCGGCGGGAACCGTAGGCGGCGAAAAAGTAGCTGCAGCGAGGAAATGGGCAGGCGGCGACGAGAGGTCGCGGCGGCGGGACAGGCAGCCGGCGACAAAGAGGTCACGGCGGCGGGACAGGCAGCCGGCGACGAAAAGGTCGCGGCGGCGGGACAGGCAGCCGGCGACGAAAGGTCGCGCGGCGGAAGAGGGCAGGCGACGACGGGAGAGGTCGTGGCGGCTGGGAGGGCAGGCAGCGACGAAGCAGGTCGCAGCGGCGAGGAGGGCCAGGCTGCGTCGAGAAAAGGGTCGCAGCGGCCGGGAAGGCAGGCGGCGACAGAAGGGTCGCGGCGGCAAGATTAGAGGGCGGCAACGTAGCAGTAGCGGCGGTGAAATCCGCAGGTGGGAAGGTGCTGGCGGCGAATCCGCGGCGAAATCCGCGGTGAGGGAAATGGCGGAGGAAGGGAGGCCGCGGCGGAAGGGCACGGGCGGCGGCTGAAAGACCGCGGCGGGAAAGCGCCGAGATGGGAAGAAGGGAGGGGGACGGGGGCGACTGAAGGGTCGTGTCGTTAGGGAAGCGGATGGTGGGCCCTTGGGAAAAAAAAAACTGGAGGGGGAGGAGGTTGCCTTAGGAAGGACTTAGCTCTATACCATGTGAAGAATTGAAAAAGAATAAGTAATTAGATTAGAGAGGAAACAAGCATACATAGGTTGGATGAGAAGGTTGGAGAAGGAGGGTTGGGTTGACCACACTTTGTGGGAAGTGGGGCAACCTCAAGCCCACTTGGCTTGAGGTTGGCCTCACTTTGTGGGAAGTGAGGCAACCTCAAGCCAAGTGGGTTGCATTTGGGGGCTCCACCACAATTGGGTTGGATTGGCACCCCAAAATCCAAGACTACACCCAAAGTTGGGTGTAGTCCCAACCCAATCGTACACCACAATTGGTGTACAGTCACAAGTGTTAGCATGCTAGAACATAGGATTTCTAACACATATGCACATGCACTCACGGGCACCTGCAAAGACACATGCACATGCACTCACGGGCACCTGCAAAGACACATGCACATGCCACTTGCGCATAGGCACACGTGTTACTCCCCTCCCTTATCATCACCCCCACACAGGTGCAGAAGAAGTGGAAGGTGAATGCGGAGATGCTGAGGGATGAGTGCAAGCAAGCACAGGAGCTGGTATCTCGGTTCCAAGAAATTGCCATCCGCCACGTGCCCAGGGTATGTGTCATGTATGCACTCTGTGGCACGTACTGTGTGCCATCGACTGTGGTGTATGTGTCACGTACCATTGGTAAGTGTCACGTACCCCTCATCCTCTCTTATCACCTCTCATCATCCCCTGCCACCCCTCATCACCCCTTTTTGCCTCTCATCACCCCTCACCACCCTGCACCACCTTGTCTCCCCGCACCACCCCTCATCACCCCTCATCATCCCTCGCCACCCTGCACCACCCCTCATCACCGCTAACCACCTCACAGGAGTGCAACCAGCTGGCGGATCTTCTCTCCAATGAAGCCGTGCCTCTTGCAGGTCCGTCAGTCAGTCAGACCACTTAAAGCCAGCAATGGTACTTTTGAAACTTACCAAGAACTACACAGATTATTAAGCTGTGCCTCTTGCAGGTCAGTCAGAACTCTAAAGGCCGGCAATGGTACTTGAGACTCCTCATAGTCTTTGTACTTTTGATATTATGTAATCTCAATGGCACATCAGGATATAAGCCATGCCTCTAGCACGTCAGTCAGAACCCTTGAAGGCAGCGAAGATGCTTTGAGAATTCTTAAAAGCGACGCATCAAAGATTAACCCGTGCGTCTAGCAGAGAACCTTAATGCCAGCAATGGTACTTGACTCCGCTACCTGCATAACCTGCTTTCTTTCTTCTCATGGCTCCAACCCTCCTCTCTCCCTCCCCATCCTCCCCCCCCCCCCCCCCACCCTTCATCCCTCCTCTTGATTCCCCACCAGAGAACCAGCGGGTAATCATCCCCTCTACCTGTACAACCCGCTTTCTCCACGGCACCAGCACCATTCCCTCCCTCTCCGTGCCCTCCCCCAAGCCCATCCCCAGACGAGGCCGCCCCCCCAAAATCCGCTCCTCTAAAGCCTCCTCGTGACCAGCTGAGACATGAAATGTGTGACAACGATAGCAGCAGCAATAGCAACAGCAGCAGCACCATTTCCTCCCTCTCCATGTGCTCCCCCAAGCCTATCCCCAGACGCGGCCGTCCCCCCAAAATCCGCTCCTCTAAAGCTTCTTCCTGACCAACATTGCGCTTCAAGCACGCGTGAGCTGCAACTTAGGCTTTAGTCACTCAGCTGCGGCTAAGACCGCAACAGCACCAGCACCACCCCCTCCCTCTCCTTACCCACCCCCAAGCCCATCCCCGGACGAGGCCGCCCACCAAAAAATCAGTTCCTCTAAAGCCTCCTGAGTCCCGACCAACACAGTGCTTCAAGCACATGTGAGCTGCGGCTAGGACGTGTGCAAACCCTATAGACTTGGCAGCAACGAATGCAGCCGTCCCACCAAAATTAGCTCCTCCAGACCACCTCAAGGTGACTTGTGGATCGACTCGGAATTGACGCGGCCGACCCGCGAAACTCCATTCCTGTAAGGCCTCCTCCTGACACAACACATAGCCTCAAGTACCGCACCGGCACCTATGATGCTGCTGCGGCCTTAAGTGTGAATGATTGGCAGGAAATCGCCCAGTGTCACACCCACAAGTGCATGTGCTTGTGTTTTGTAATATCAATCTTCAAATAAAAAATTTCTGCATCGCAACAAGTCTCTGCTCATCCTGATATTAAAGAGGACTGCAAATGTCCCAGCCAATACTGGGACAGTGGTCATGTGTACATGATATTGTCTGTAAGCTTTTGTGAAAATGTAACCATAAAAGAGTAAAAATATTGCATGATGCAAATTCTAAAATGTACCACGCCCTATTCAGCTTTTCGCTGCAGCATTTCGGTTCGCAGCTCTCCTCCCGTTCCAACCATTATACCGTAATTAGGCACAACGTTACGCTCTTGGCCCATATCGCAGTAGCTTAGGAGGCGGATGCGCTTTGCTGCGGTGTTGCATTGACTGACAACCGCCACGTCCCGCAACTGGCGTAGATACTAATGGCTAAGACTAAGTACTACGCGGTTCGGAAAGGACATCAGCCGGGAATTTATCTGACGTGGCCGGAATGTCAACGACAGGTAAGCAGCTGTTATTGAGTCGGACGTGGCGGTTCGACGTACCACAGCAACATGCTTTCTGCCTGCATTGTCAGCTAAATATCTGAGCTAATTGTGAAGGAATGCGTACGTTTACTGTTCGTCTTTCGTGCGGTTCATTTCGGGTTCTCATGCTGAATCGCGGTTTGCTCGCATTGCTGCGAACGCCCTTTTCTTACCCCCAAGCCATCTCTCGCAACCCAAACCTTGGCGACAACAATGCAGGTTCTCCTTTCCCTTAACGCATCTACACACACATTCCAGTCCAATTCACCATATCGAACATACACTGTCCTCGTTATAATCTTTTCCAGGTGTATAATTTCAAAGGCAACCAGTGCAAGAGCTTTGAGTCATTGGGTGAAGCCATGTCCTACCTCGCCTTGGCTAACGTCTTCGTCTCTTCGCCCTTCACGCAAACCGCGGAGGCTCCAAGTCACGCCTTTATGCCTGCTGCTGCCACTACTGCTGACCCGTATACAAGTGCTGCTTCAAATCACGCCTTTACGCCCTCTGCTGCTGCTGTTGCCGCTACTGCTGACGCGTATACAAGTGCTGCTACTTCTCCTTTTGCTGTCGCAACAGGGGTAGACGCTGGTGTTGGTGAGTGGTCTGCTCAAGTGCCTAGTTCTTTGTTACTACTAGTAACTCCTATCTCTTTCGAGAGGTGCAAGGTGCAATGCAGCATGATATGCTGCGGCTGCTGCCAGGCTGCTTTTGAGTCGACTCAAAAACGGTTGCAACATGATTTGCTGCGGTTGCAACATGATTTGCTGCGGTTGCAACATAATTTTCTGCGGCTGGTGCCAGGCTGCTTTTGAGTCGACCCAAAAACAGTTGCCACGTGATTTGCTGCGGCTGCTGCCAGGCTGCCAGCATTCCCATTCCTGCAGCATAGCAGACCTGGCTTAGTAACCGTTTCTTCAGTTCGATTCTACAAACTGCTTCACGGTTTCAGTACTTTCAAGTTTCCACTGGCATATGTATACACAACACAGCCCTTCCCTAGTGATAGTTAAATTAAAAGCCCCACCATCCCTACTCACTTCCACGCACTACCTTCCTCTCTCCTCTCGTTCTCCTGCTCTCCCTCTCTCACTCACTGGAGCGCTTTCGTTTCTCTCCTTTCCCTTCGTCCTCCCTCCCTATCCACCCCACCCTAAGAAGGTTTCTGAAAATTCCCTCCCACTTTCCTTCTTACCCTCCCACCTTTCCTTTCCCCCTCCCTTTCTACCCCACCCCACCACAGGAGGAGGATATGTGGAGAGCCAGGGGGGAAGGAGGTGGTCTGCTGCAGGAGGGAGGGTTGGGGAGGAGGGAGTGGGTGTGGGAAGGGAGGGGGGAGTGAGAGCAGTGGGAAGGCAGGGGGCTGTGAGGATGAGGAGAGGGGAGGACATACGACCAGTCGTAGCATCACTTGGGCTTCAGATAGACCCTCAGGTGAGTCTCAGGTGGACTCTCAGGTTAGTATCCTTAGTCATTCAAAACAGCCCTTCAGTCAATTCAAAGGTGGGCTGGAAGTGAGAAGAAGGGAGGCAATGCGGCCACATGTAGAGAGCCCCAATTTACAATTTACCTTTCATCCCCCCCAGGCGCTCTACTGCATGGAGTTTGACGGAGCCTCCAAGGGCAACCACCTCCCTCTCCTCCTTTACTGTTGGTTCCCCCACCCCCCCCCCCCCCCCCCCTTTCACTTCTCCCCCCTTCCATCCCCCTGGCGCTCTACTGCATGGAGTTAGACGCCTCCAAGAGCAACCTTGTGCCTCGCCCTCCTCCCCTACTCAACGTGGTTTCCCTTGTTCACTATTGTAACTTGTATCCCCCCAACCCCTCTTCTCCGCCTCCCCTAGGCGCTCTAACCCAGAGCTCAATGGCACCTTAGGGAATTGACTGGTGGTCCCTCTCCCCTGCGCAGTCATTAGTATCGGGACTCGTACCAAAACAACGCACATGATATTTGTTTCCTCCCTTTGGGTTCCCAATTTACCTTTCACCCCCTCACAGGCACTGCCCTGCCTGCACTGCTCCTGCTGCCACTGCTTCTTCTACTACCACTGCTGCTACTGCTACTACTACTGCTATGGCTAGCCCTACTGTTCTCACATTTGATGCTGAGGGGCGTGCAGTTGACTTTGACGTGTGGGTTGACGACCTGCAGCTCTTTCTTCAGCGTGACTCTAGGGATGGGATATCCCTTTTCGATCACACGTCCGGTGTCTCTACTGCTCCTGCTGCCACTGCTGACAGTACGGTTCGCTCGCAGTGGGCCACTCGTGACGCTGTTGCTCGTCTTGCTGTTCGTAGTCACCTGCCGCCTGCTGAGCGCGCGCATTTTGGCCAGTACAAGACTGCCCAGTCTTTGTACGACGCTGTAGTTGCGCGCTACTCCTCCCCTGCCACTGCTGCCCTCAGCCGCCTCATGCTGCCGTACCTTTTCCCTGACCTTGCCACCTTTGCCATAGTTGCTGACCTCATTACTCACCTCCGCACTAGTGACGCCCGCTACCGCGCTGCCCTTCCCACTGAGTTCTGTGCCAAGAACCCCCCCCCCATGTACATCACCCTTTACTACCTAGTCACCCGCCTCCCTGACTCTCTTGCTTCAGTCAGGGACCACTTTCTCTCCCTTTGCCCCACCGAGCTCACTATCGACCTGCTAGAGGAGCGCCTCGCTGCAGCTGAGAAGAGTATCTTAGCTGTAGGTGCTTCTCGCGGCGACCGTCGCACCCCTTTCTTTGAGGGGTGTTCCCCTGTCCCCCTTCTCCCCTCTGTTGCTTCTGCTGCTGGTGTCGACCTCGTTGGCACTGAGGAGGTCGGGGCTGCGTCTGCTCCCAGTGGGAGGCGCCGCAACAGCAAGGGCAAGGGGAGCAAGGGTGGTGGAGGGGACGGCGGGGGCGGCGGCGGAGGCGGTGGAGGAGGCGGAGGGGGTGGCGGTGGAGGTGGGGGTGGTGCCGGGAGTGGGGGCTTCAGTGGCGGCGGTGGAGGTGGTGGAGGCAGTGGCGGAGGTGGTGGAGGCAACGGCAGCGGTGGTGGAGGCAGCGGCAGCGGTGGTGGAGGTGGCGGCGGCGGCGGTGCTGGTCGAGGTGCAGCCGCGCAGCGTGGAGGCTTCGGTGGTAGCCAGCGCCAGCAGCAGTCGCGTTCCCGTGAGATCTCGTCGCCCCAGCGGTTTCGTGAGTGGTACGCTGGGCGTGGGAAGTCTGGGGTTGCTGGTCCCTGCACTTACGTTCTTCGCACCGGCGGGCGTCGTGGGGAGACGTGCGGGCTGCCACACACTGCGCAGCGCTGCTTCGGTCGCTTGAC